TCTTTTGTTAGGTATCGTTTCTCCTCAGTGACGTTTGCTCAAAACAAAGACAAATAAGCATCTTTTTGTTTGTTTCTACAACACCTGTTTTCTGTTGGTGTCCAATCTGTTCTGCAGACGGGCTCTTTTGCTACAGAAGAATGCTGCAGATGTGGTTTGGCTTTTTTTTCTGTTGCTTAAAAACCTCTCTTCCAGCATTAACGGTACATTTGCAGAAGTGCAATTTTATCACGACGTGCAATAAACACAGCCCACACATCACAAACTGTTTGGTCATAAAAGAATAGATTGTTCTTTTCCTCTTTAACCAGGAGGACAAGGTGTTTGTGATTTTCTAAAAATAAATAAACAATAAACCTTTTTTTAAACTCAGTTCATCTTTAATGAATTCAGGTTGTTACTTAAATGTTCAAAATTTCTCTAAAATCTAACGTAATCAACTTAGCTTATTTTAATTCAACTTATTTACTTAATGTAACTTATTTTAATGGTGAAAACAAATTTAAAGTTCAAAATATTTTAAAAACCATGTTAGCAGGAGCTAAATCTGAAACTCCTCAACGTGTCTGAGTTGCACCGCAGTGTGTTTTTAAGAGGAAACACAAATCAAAACTCAACATGTTGACATTCACATTTGCACTTTATTTGCCATCCCTTTAATAATTCTTAAGTAATCTCACAAAAAATAGGAGCACACTGTAATCACAGCTCTGACGCAGGTATGGGCCATAAAGACACGAGCATCTCAAAAACACTTCATAGGATCACATCAGACAGCTTTCTTTTTGGCAAGAAAACAGAACAAAGATAAACGGGGCTTTTGGTTTCACATTAGTTGTTTGTCGAACTCGGCTTTAGTGATTACAACAGCACACTAACGTTTGCAGGGAAGAAGCTCAGGAGTTGCATAGGTTCAAACACTGCGAATAACTGCGCTGTTCAGAGGAAGGATCCTTCCATTAGGCATGCAGCGACTGCAGCAAATACAACAAACAGGCTTGGAAAATGGATTCGGATGTCAAGTTTTTATTTAGACTAGAACCTTATTCAAATTCAGAATTTAGGCATTTTTTTGTTACTGAAAATTGTCTCAGTTTGTGGGGCAAATTGGTAGAAACATTAAAATGTGTATTAGTATTATCAACATGATGAAGTACATTTAAATACATCACAAAGTGCTTTCAATGCTTTTGGCACTGTTCTGGATGTTCTAGACTTTGAAGGAATATTTCCAATTCTCTAAAGTGGAGTTGGTAAAAAGGTTGTAAACAGTTATTATCTTACCTGTTTTACAACATCAGTTTGGAGAAATAAGGTTTCACTCCGACCAAATGAAAGAGCTAATGTCTTGTCAGGGTGGGACCCACACCAAAGTAGATCGTGGACGTCATAAAACAACACAGAATGTTTGAAAGCTGTTCGATTTCAGCACAAATATAATAATAATAATGGCACACACAGAGGTGTAGAAAATACTTGAAAAAAATAAGCAAAAGTAAAAATACCTTAACAGAAATCATTGTTTACATTTATGTTTTGAATGTAACAAAATACAAGTAAAAGCTACAAAAAAAACTTGAAATTACAAATCCACAAAAAAGTACTGCAACAAAGTAAATTTTGTTTCTTACTATACACCTCTTCTGCATCATTAGTGCTACAACTAGCTGCTGCTGCTGCCACTGTTGCTCCTAAAAGTTTAACCAAGTAACAATTCAATTCACTTTGGTCTTGGTCCTGCTCTGACTAGCTAATAACTCATCTATCTGGTCAGGAATAAACGTTTATTTCTGCAAACAGAGGTTGTTTGAAAACAGGTAAAACAGGTAAGATATTTATTGCTCACAACCTTTCCACAGAATCCCACCAGGAAAGATCTATTGTACTGTTTTAATGTTTGTTTCACTTCTCCAACGTTGAAACTAGCCACTCAAATGCTAACTATAATCGATTGGATATTGCAGGCAGGTAGTTGAAACAGTCAGCCAACACCCCATGAGCTTTCAGTGCTTTGTTAGTATTTAAATAAAAAGCTAAAATCCATTACTGCAAGGTACTATCACTGTTAAATAATAGATCTTACTTTGAAAACTCTTGTGTGCTTTTTCAAGTCCTGTTTTGAAAAGAACAATATGGATAAACGTGGATGAGAGTAGCCTATCGTCGTCGGCTAGGACACCTTTCCTCAAAACATCTACTGCTGACTGGAGCTGTTCTGACCTTCGGTAGTGTTTGTAACGCACAGAGCCCCTCACACACATTAAATACCAGACAGATCTGTAAACCGTAAGAATAAACACAGATGTTTAGAGGACGGAGAGACAGGAGAGCAGTAGGTCAGGTCTGACCACCTGAGAGAATTTAGGAGGCGGTGAGGGGGAATCTGTGCTTTCAGAGATTTAATGACAAACTGACCATTTCCAGATTTTTATGCAAACGACACCACAAGTGGACAACTGAAAACCACACTCAACGACTCAGACTCCACACACGCGCGCATTTCATAAACACTGTATACCAACGCACAGAAACATTCAACAACACGTCCATGCTCTTTGATACGAATCCTGTCATCACTTGAACGGAATCCTTAAAAAGCACAAATTGGATTTAAACCAGACAGAAGCGATAAAACTCCCCCTTTTACTAAAAGACTAATCTGAATAAAAATATAATCCTTCATCAGTCCATGTAAACAAACAATAACGTCACTTTTCTTTTTCACAAGGGCTGGAATAAGACACGGGATTACACCTAATCTTCCAGGTTAGACTAGAATTAGCATCTATACATTATTATGTACCGACAGTGAATGAGTAAATA